TGGTGCTTGGAGCGGCCAATTCAAAGGGGCGGCACTCCGTTCTGTATCGGGGCGGCACATCCGGGTCTTCGGGAATTCGGCGGCGGGTCCCTCATTCCCTCTCTTCCTCTTTGAGCTGCCGCCAAAGTGCTGCTGAAGAGGAGGAGAGGGAGTGAATGACCCGCCGCCGAATTCCCGCCGAAGAAGCGGTGCGTTTGAGCTGCCTCCGCTCGTCTTTTTTTGCCGCTTGGGGCAGCAGAAAAGTTGGAGCCGGCCCTGCCTCTGGCTGAGACAGCATGGTGGAGGGCAAGAGCTGAATGGCTGCAGGCGTGGGTCTCCCTAGCACTGCTAGCAGCAGTGGTCCAGGGAGCTGCTTGGCAGCAAAGATAGCGAGCAGCCAGCAGGGGGTCTTGTTCCCCAGGTGGCTAAAGTCCTAGGGCAGGTAATGATGTGATCTTAACTGATACAGTGATGCTCACCCAAAGCACTTCCCAAGCTGTCATGCACAGGGATCTCTTAGCTCAGCCAGCCTTCAGGATAACAACTTGACACAGCTGCATAAGGCAGGAAGGGAGGGAAATTTCTGTGTCTAATTGAAGGCACAGGGGAGCTTTGGCTAGCAGAATGCAATGACCTGTGTTATAATGTCGACAGGGCTGTGACTGCCCCATCTCCTTAGGGAAAGAAGCCAAAGGATCTGGCATGACTGCAATGTTGTGCCACGTCCGAAGGGTCAGTGCTATCCCCATGTGTTGTCCGTCTCTCTCAGGCTCGCCCCACAGCCTTGCAAAGGGATCTAGAAGAATCTACTCTAGGTTTTTCTATCGCACCCTTCACTCTGGTATCAAAGTGCACCGTGATGCACTTTGCTCTATCTCTGCTGAGTCTGAACAAACTGCCTGCCCCTCTCAGGTCATGTCTCAGCCAGGGTGGCTGTCTCGGAGCCTGCCTTCTCTCCACCAGTCCCCGCACCTCTTTGGGGTGAACAGCAGCCCCTTGAAACATCTGATCCTGAGCTGCTGACACAATGATCCTTCTGGATGCATTTGCCTTGCTAAATCAGGATCTGTGCATTGTCTGCTTGCACTAATGAAAACACCAGGGAGCGCAGGTATGGAGAGGACCCCTCTAGAAAGGAACCCCATTGAAAGCCGTGTGCCTGTCCAATAGATCTTCTCGACCTCTGCACTGAATGCAGGAACTGCTCACATGCAGGGCTCCTCTAGAAAGGCTAGTTCCCTGACTTTGCATGGCCCTGTGGGGCATCCATGTTCTCTCGCTGCTGGAGACACGGCCAAACAGTCTCCCGTGTGTAGCGTTCCTGCTGGGACCCTTCTCTTGGGAGGGACCAGTAACTGATCTAGCAGCTGCGCGCCTGTCCCTTGGTCCAGGCAGTTGTCTTGGGAAGGCAGAGGCCTTTCCTGGTGTCTGTATTTGTGTTTCAAAGGGTGTGTGTGTGTGGGAGGGAGAGAGAGAGATGTGGGCACTCGAGACTGGCATTGGAGTTGGGATCAATGAAAAGCTGGACAGGGAATAGGACGCAGTGATTTCTAAAAAAAGAATGGAGTTGGGGGTGGTGGTGAACTCTCTGGCTGCAAGGCCATTGACCCCGACGCTTGCGGGAAAGTGGAGAGGCACTAATGTGTAGGTTCTTTGCCATCCAGAACTACATTGTGTGCGAGGTCCAGGTCAGCGGTTCTGATCTGGCCCAGGTCAGATGCTGCTATTATCTTACGTGTGTGTGTGTGTGTGTGTGTGTGTGTGTGTAATGAGTTGGTGGGTCTCTGTCCCATTGTTAGGCAGCATTTCAAAGGCTTACTGTTGGCAGGGCACAAGCACAGGGAGATGATGAAGAATTGTTTCTACCTGAGGCTCTCGGTGTGCTGCGTGCGCACTTGTTAATTCACCCTTGACTCCCCTGTGATGTAGATAGAATATTCTCCTCCCCATTTTACGGATGGAGAAACTGAGGCATGGAGGGTTTCCCTCTCCCACCATGAAATTTCCAAGTATTCACTAGTTCTGGCTATGTCCATTCACCTAGAACCTGTTTATTGGAGATGCCGAGCACCCACGTGGCCGCGCTGGTGGGATCTGTGGGCATGTGGCACATCAGAAACAGGCCGCTTGAATTCCGGTTCTTTGGCTGCCTCACTTATTGAAGGCTCTTGCTAGTATAGGCCTTGATCACTCCCCAAAGCCACGCAGCATGTCAGTGTTGAAGCTGGAAACAATCCAGGTGTCCTTCAATTTCAGTGTCTAACCACTAACCCCAGGAGGCTGGGGGTAGCCCCGAATGGCCGGTCCTTAGCAGTCTGATTGATGAAGAATTTGGGTCACCATGTCTTAACTCTCCTGACCTCTCAAGCAAGAAACCCAGGGTTGGGCCCTCTCAAGATATTGGGAGTGTGGGGTGGCAGGCTCTCGGGGGTAGGAGGAACGGGATGGCACAAAACTGCCCAGCAGGGAGGTGGGATCCAGGGTCCAGTTTTGAAGAGAGCTCCTTAGAAATCCAGTGTTGTCCTGCGTTTCCAATAGCGGGCACCTTCGCCAAGCACAGACAGGAGCCAGAGGTCCCGTTAGATGCAGTGAGGCTGTTGTTGCATGTTAACCCTTTTGCTGCTAGACGCAAACGCTGCCTGTCTTAAATCAGTGAGGATCATCTGCATCCAGCAGCAGAGAAGCAATCGGGGAATTATTTATTTAAAAAAAAAAAAGGAGTGGGGTTGGGGGATGGTGCTTGCTGGCTGGGGAGTAACGCATCGATCTTTTCACTGGAACCAGGAGTTCAAATCCCTGTTCAGGTCACAGCTGATAATGAGGTTGATGAGCTCTGAGTCTCGTCCCTGTTGTTCACATCACTAACGCCTGAGCAGCTGAGTGCAGAGGGCGGCGTGTGCTTGCACAGGTCTAATGACAGGAGTAGCTGGGTTTGCTGTGGGTCAGGCTGTCACTGTGTCGGCAGAGCCCCACTGGGGAGCATCGCGTGCTGGCTGGATGAAGTCAGTGGTGTTCGCTCCATAGCTTTGTGGGCATTAAACGCCTGCATCTTCCCTGGGATTCCAAATGAAGATGGGGGATCGGACTGGCTCCTGAAGGCAGCTGGTGTAACTGCCCGGGCATCCTGAGTCAGTGGTTATCCAAGGTACTGAACTGCCTCTCAGAATCATTCATGCCCTCAGGAGGCTGAAGGGACTGGATGGCTAGTACAGTGGGTGCGCTGGCCGAGCTACCATCAGGCTTCTTCAGACCACTCACTCCCCAAAACTGCAGATGCACTGGTGATAACGTAGCATAAGCCTTGGGGGAGGGGTGGTGGTGGTTCTCAGTTACCACCATATGGCCCAACTCTGCTCAGAGCACAGCTAGACGACGGAGCAGTGTAAACGCCTGAGTCTTCTCCACGCTCTGGCTACTGGTCATGGGAATTATGGGTTTGAAAAAATCCTAGAGTATAAAACAGTCCTGATTCCCCCCCCCCCCTCTGGCCCAGCCCCCGCCTTACTCTAGATGGACACTGGTGTAATTCTGCTGGGCTCCTGATTGCACAGGAGTTGCATTGACACAGAAGCGGAGAAAGGCCTGGGTCACTATTGCCTGAGTTCTATAGTTCTCACTCCCATTCGCTCAGACATTGGGAAATTGAGACTTTCCAGGCTTTTCCTTAGCCCATCAGTGAATTTCTCTCCTTGGAAGCTTGAGTAAAACTGGCACAGCTTTTTTGCATTATTTTTTGTTCTGTATGGAGCCCCATATCCACGCTCAGTTGTGTCCCAACACCCGTAAAGTCCTGCCTCTTCTGACGGGTCATTGACGTGGGGGGAGGAAGGGTTCATCCCCTTTACTGAATGTGCAATTGCATGTGAGTCTACTCACAAATTTTACCTGTGCATATGTTGGAGGACCATTGGAAAATTAACCTTTTAGTGTAAAAGACCTTTCTTGTGCAAAAGTAGGAGCTATCCCAGGTCTTCCGTAGCATTCCCAAGATGGGCCGCATAAGCTTCTCTCTAGTCTTACTCAGAGCCTGTAATATGTACATCCTGATTTTGTTCTGGTGTGTAGTACAGTTACATGGATGCAAGTGCTCTTCAGACCTTGCAGATCTTTGTCTTCCATAAAACGTAGTTCTTCTCCAAAAAGTGACTCTCTAAAAAATGCTGTTGTAGAACTTGTTTGTTTTTCGAGTGCATTTCATATAAAACACGCTCAGTTCTCCAGTAAAGTACCAGTCCTGCAAACCTCCCTTTGACATTTGCGAGTCCAGCTGGGTTCTTTGTGGCTCATGCATCATCACCTAGAATAAAAACTGCAGACCAAATGTTGGCCTCAGCAACACCTGGGCAACTCTGTTGTCTTCAGTGGGGCTGTACAGGTGAAACTGAGGGGTATAATACAATGGCACTGCACAGATGGCCATGAAATTAGAACTTGGTTAATGATTCACTGTGCAAGCCAGAAAAGTATCCAGTTCACTTTCTCCCAGCAGTGTTGGTTCAGTAAAGACAGGCTTTTATCACTCAGATTAGCAGCTCAGCCTCTGAATACACAGGGAGCAGACCTGCTCAGTTAGACGGTGCTGTTTCATCTAGACCTGTTTCAGAGTAGAGGGCACATAAATGAACGAATTCTTATAGAATTGAATACAGTGCTCAAGCCACTAAGACACCAGTGAGCTCTCGATGAAATGAGCGATGCTCATTTCGTGTCACTCTGCAGCATACGTGATTTTGATCATTTTTGAGAAGACACTTCGGATGAGTTCTTTTACTCTCTCTCTCTCTCTCTCTCTCCTCCCTCCCCCC